TATGTGTGTTAGGAAGAAAATCCGACACAGTGCCGGTGTATCGGCGCAAAACTATCGTTGTTAAAATATCGACGTTTATGTCCCCTCACTAATCAATCTGACACTTGATTGTTGACGAAAGCGCGTAATTCGTTTCAAAGGATTGTAACTAATAATGTATAAAAATATAGAGGTATTTTTATAACGTGCTTCTTTGTAATATCTGCAATTTGCCGGAGGAATGCGTCTGATGTGAGGCAGCAATCAGAGCGGGTCTGTCGCAACGTCCGCACTCTACACATCTCAGCCGAGCATTCACCTCTCTGATCTTTATTGAATTCTTTACAACTAGCTGTAGTCAACGACTCCGTCCGTGCGGAATTATAAGAAAATCTAATTTGTAGCCTATGTGTTCTTCCAGACTTCTACATATATGCCAAATTTCAGAGGGATCTATGCAAATGTTCTGGAGATACATTTTAACAAACATCCAAACATTTGCATTTATAATATTAATAAGATTGTAGAGTAGTATAGCCGTAGACGGTCACTGCAGTCAATCTTGTGTTATATCCCTTTTATCTTTGGATAAAACAGATCACATTATGTATTAAAACAAGCTTCACGGTAGTAGAATTTCGGCGGTATTTCCAAACCTATACAAATTAGGATCCTGCAAGAAGCGAGCTTTTCACTATCTCAAAGGTCGGCAACGCATCTGCGGTTATGCGGTGTTGCAGATGTCCATGGATGTCGTTGATCACCTCGGTGTTCCCGCCGTTTGTTTGCCTCCTTCTCTTATAAAAAAAAAATACTATTTACGATATATTATGAAATAAGATTAGTTTGAAGGTGTCACTACTATTTTTGGGAGTTTATTAAACTATGAATTAATTGTGGAAGAGTAAGGCCAGTAGGTTGAGGAAAAAAGTACTCAAAGTGAGATGACTGTAAGTAACTTAAAAATTTAACTATAAATTTACCAAAAGTATTAGTTGCCCGATTAAATGTTTATGCATAAATATTCGTGCTATGTTGCATTTCAATTATACTTTTAAAATATTATCAAATATTCAGGTTCTTCCAAAAAGTACAACTTGCCTTAACCATTAATTTGGTGTTAACTAAATTCGACTACTTAAATGTTCCAAACGCGTTTAAGGCAAAGCTCATTGAATTCGTTGAAATGGACATTAATACTGCAAACTGGAGCAGTCGTGAACGGACTTACGAAATATACTTGCTATTGGAAATGTTATCAAATATTATAGATTTTTAGATATATCACAGCCATACTCAGAGTCGTTCATGTATAACTATAATTTCTCCCTTAGTGTAGAGCTGAAGAGAGTTAAGAGAAAGAGAGAATCAAAAGTCATATACTTCTCATCTTACTAATATTATACGAGTAAATGCGAATATTTAAAGGTAAGGATGGATGGATGGATGGAGTCACCCCTAACTTAGGGTAGGCTCCGTGCCCCTCGGTGGGGACTGATCTATCTGAAATTTCGCATATACGTAGAACATGGTCTTGAAGAACACAGAGGCTACTAATTAAGTTTGTTTTTTAATTCCGTACGCCGAAGTCGACGGCAAAAGCTTGTTTTTTTATGAAGGTCATAGTATCTCTGTCTTGACATAGTTTTTATCATCTTATAGTGTTCTAATAGGAAATAAACTTTATTATTTATAGAAAACAACCAACAACCCGCTCGTGCGTACAGAAAGTGAAAAGTGACTTTCAACTCAAGAATGCTGTTCACTCCAGGAATTGTGATTACTTGGAAAAAGTTACGTAATTTTTAAACGTATTAGGGACGCGGAAACTGATGCGATTAGACTTGTTAATCTTTGAACAAGAAAGACGAGTTTTTTACTCTTTTTAATTGGTTAGGTGCTCAGTGAGTGATGACATGCATTCGTTTATTTACTCGACTACTTACTTAATATACGTATTATAAATTAGCAAACTTTAAAGTAATCCAAAGCTTTAAGGATATTCGTATCTTACTAATATTAAAAATGTGGATGAATGGATAGATAGATGTTTGTTAGAAGGTATCTTCAGAAAGGCTACATAGATCTCGCTGAAAGGCAATTGTAGAACATAGCCTGGATGAATACACAGGCTACTAGTTAAGTTTTTTTTTTTGATTCTGCGCTGACGGAGTCGCGATCAATCACACTAGTACTTCAAGTACTATATAGAATTTTTATTCTATGCGGAACAAATGAACATCAAAATCGTGATTTCTGGTGTGGAAAACGTGACAATCCATTTACTTTAATTATTTATTGTACTTTGAAATAGAATAATTAAAATTCCATCTTTTGTTTTTTATTGTAAAAAAATAACCTTTTTGGTACCTTTAGAATAGTATCCATAATATTATTTTTTGTAGCACATTATACTAATGTATTTTTTTATTTTTTAGTTCTATTTACATTTATTATTATTAAATAACATAGTTGTACTAATAGTAATGAAATGAAAATGAAACTTTAGGTCACGATCATTTTATTACAAGCATCCATTAAAAATATAGTCTACATAAAAATATTTTAGAACACTTTTTAATGCAAAAAAATATTTTAGAACACTTTTTATTGCAATTTATGTACATTGCTGTAATAAATAATTGTTGTGAATAACACGGTAGCGTATAATAGCAAGAACTCGAAATAAACCAGATTGCGTTTTTAACAAGTTTCGCTTTCAAAAAAAATGTTTGGTATTTAAACATTTTATGTATAATTTAGAGGTAACCATTTTTATTAAGAAACAAATACAAGTAAACAATTAAAGAAAATGAGTAATAGATTTTATTTTATAAATGTGTTCTAATATCGTGTTCAGAATTAAGAGATACAGCAGTGACTTTTTTCCTGACACAACGCTATTCGATTTATACGTTGTCAAAGTATACAAACAGCAAATAGAATACAAATGTCATTTAAAAGTATACAATATACAAAATATATTTGTATAAATATTGCAATAGAAATATTATCTAAGAGTTACTGATGCGTGTCAGTTACGCGGCGAGTGTGCTGCTTGTGTAATGCAGCGTGAACGATACCTACCATTCATATTTGCATCCTCTATACTGCTGTTGTACCTAAAACTACCAGTTCTAACACATTTCTTTAGATCTTCGTCAATATTTTAACTCTACAACCAAACGTGGTCAAACATACCAAACAATTTTAATAATATTATAAATGCGTTTGGATAGATGGAAGCATGTTTGTTAGAAACTATCTCCAGTATGGCTGCATAGATATTGCCAAAATTTGGCATAGATGTAAAATATAGCCTGGTAGAGCACATACTAATAAAGTTTTTTTTTAACCACGCGGATGGAGTCACGGGCCACAGCTAGTAATCTAAAAGGGAGATTCAACACACATCTCAATATTTTTATCTTAAAGATGGTTAATAATATACGACGTAGATGTATTTGCGGTGTCCTATCATTTGCGTACTTAAAATTAACTTAAAAGCTTCCTTGTCACGAAGTTATCAAGTAAATATTGTAATTATATTGAAATCATATATAGGTTTTGATATTATGCATTGTGTAACATACAACGGTACCGCACTCCATATTATAGTCCTGAATATTCATAGCGTGTAAACGGTTGCCAATGGTAACGGTTCGTTGGTGGTCTCATATTAGGTTAATATAGGCGACGGGATGTTGTGATGTGAATTCTGAGTAACGCCGCGCCGGGAAATATGTATGTTAATGTATTAATGCTAAGAGAAATATGTATGTTGTAAAATATTGAAATTATGATCAATGTATTACGATATAGCGTTCTAAATTTTTGACGTGCTAAGTTTTTTGATGGAAGGAATAAGAAGAAAGCAGTTTTATTAATCTTTCTCTATTTATACAATTTATTAAATATTCAGTATGTACTAGTAATACTGATCGCAAAAAAAATCATATTTCGTAAACCTTTAAAGAAAAATATTTTCTTTTATTTTTGTCTTTGTCCTTCCGCAAGTCCGCAAGTGTGTTTCCAATTTTGACGGTACTTTGGTCTCTGAAATACGATAAATGCAGCTAGTTTGCTTGTTAGAAGTAACACTGTAAAGGGAAATTATCTTTAGTGATTCAAGCATGACTCAGTCGAAGTCTTAATCAGGGCGTTCAAAGTTGTTTGGCATTTTACCTTCCTGATATGAGTCAGTACTAAAATTAAATATATATTTAAATAATACATAAATGACTCCTATAATAACTAATTGATATTGACATTCTAATTTTATGATTGAGTTTCCACTGTACACAAACATATACAATCAACAATATTGTATTGTACGATATGTATAATATTATACATTGTATACAATACCATATTGTATACATTGTATACAAGTTTTTATCTCAGTGAAAATTCATGACAAAATTAGCTAAGTATCAAATACACTAAATATCAATTGACTTAGGACTATGTTCTTATAGGTCAAATGTCTGAGTTCCGGTTTATGTGACGTAATGACAGTGTGCATAAATACCAAACGTATACGTAATCTGCATTGCCTAAAAGACTATAAGGTATTGCGTACAAGTTAAATGCAATCATTTTATATACTATCGATTTAGTAACTAATAATAAAAAACTGACATATAATATAAATCACTGTTGGCATATTTACATAACAAATGCATATATATTTGACTTATATGCGGCATAAAAAAAAAATTATTAAATTTTCAAAGACAAGATTTTAAATCCTTAAAATTAAAACTATTTGAAAACAAGAGAGAGGAGACTGTAAAACTCTTTTTGGGGTATTTCGTCTTTAAAGTTATGGAAAAACTTCCATTACTAAGTACATATTTAAGACTACCTGTAGACATTTCCGGTCCAACTTGGCAACAGTAACATAACACTTTAAGTTGTTTCAACTAGCAACTAATGTAGGTTGTTATATCTGATACAAGAATCATACATTTATAAATATTGAAGGTAAATTTTATTAAAAATTAATTCTTTGTCCACAGGAAATCACGAGGTGGTTACCATTGGTGTTGGCTGTTGTCACATTTGCAACTCCAGGTAAAATATTTTTATAAAATAATATTTAAGTTGAAAACAGTATGCATAAATATGTATCCATCATAAAATTTGAAAGGGAAAAATCCACTTTTAATTTAAAAAGGGTATTCACAGACCGCCGGACGGAGAACAAAGTGATCCTGTAAGGGTTCCTTTTTTGTTTTCGACGTACGGAACCCTAAAAAATGATTATTTAGTAACGAATGTAATAAAGGTCAGTTGTGACGCATTCCAATTTTATCCAAATCAAAATTTCTCAATCTTTTTTTTCCTTATATAAGATAAACAATTAGATTTTACCATCAACCATATTCTGACCTTCAACTTTATTTGAAACTTGTTTTGTTTTTAAACATAACTGTAACCTTTGTGGTACATAAAAAAACACATTCGTCTATTTAAATAGAAATATTTTTATAATCTTTATACAATGTATTTGTAGTCGTAAACTTTCATTGCCGCTTCTCATGCGAGTAAAAAGGCAAACGCGAAGGTTAAGCCACGTTTTATCGAGAGGCAAAGTGAATCTGAGACAATGCACCATTGTCGACCGCCCACCGGTTACCGGTGCGTTGGCCTTTAGTTTGATACAGAACAAGTGAATAACAGATACTATTATACATAGGTTTTATATGTTATCCATATTGTTAGCTATATAAAGCAATTGTTTTTGTCTACTCTATATATTTCCTATCTGTATAGCATCTAATGTAGAGTCAAATTGTTATGTATATTGCAATATAATCTTTGCTCTAAGTAATTATCTGTACATCATTTAAATGGCTTAATATTTTGTTATTATATTATCATTATATACAATATTAATTTATTCATTGATACATGTTAAAGCCCACGCCCAGTTATTTCAGTGAATAACAATTCTTAAAGCTTAATTAATTATAATGTCATTTATGAAATATTTCAGGAATGTTGACTATACGCTTGAATATTTTAAAGATGATGTTACAAAAACTTAGAAGCTTTTGCTTGAATCTTACTTAAACTTTTTTTTCACAGTTTTATCAGCGGAACCCCGAGTGGTATGCTACTACACTAACTGGTCGGTGTACCGACCGGGTACAGCGCGCTTCAACCCCCAGAACATCAACCCCTATCTCTGCACGCACTTGGTCTATGCCTTTGGTGGATTCACCAAAGACAATACATTTAAACCCTTCGATAAATATCAGGATATTGAAAAGGGTAAGCTATAAAAGGATAAATATTAAACCATACTTATTAGCGATAATAACATAGATCTCGTTGATGTTTTTTTTACGGCAGAGTTATATACTTGATGAAGCTTTTATAAAACGTAACTGTCTGAAGCCATACGTTGTCTTGTTTATGATTATGATTTTCTTTAACGAAATAAAATTAAACATTATATTGCTATTCTTAGGTGGGTATGCCAAGTTTACGGGTTTAAAAACCTACAATAAGAACCTGAAGACAATGCTGGCCATCGGCGGTTGGAACGAAGGCTCCAGCAGATTCTCTCCCATGGTCGCCTCCAGGGATCGGCGGAAGGAGTTTGTAAGGAATGCTATTAAGGTAAGGTTACTTGTGTTAAAAATTGTTTATGGCAACATTTAAAATCGACAATAGCTAGTCAATAAATAGGAGTTTTCCAACATTTTGTTTTAATGTTTCATGATATTGTTAAGAAGAAGTTAAAAATAAGTTGAACTAATATTTTTTACTATCATCAATAACTAGATAACCCGACTGGACAAATTGAAAAGTTTGAATAATATATTTCATTAATCAGCTCATAAATTAGGTTCAACCATATGTAATTTTATTAATCTTAAAAAGGACATATTTCGTTCACTGGTTAACATTAAAATTAGCAAATCAACTTTAAAATAAATGAAAAATCACATTCCATATTTCCTCGATATTCAACGAACGACATCCGAGAATGGCATTTAAGAAACATATTTCCTGCACTGTATTAGGTAAGGTTTCATAGTTCTAACGATAGTGATACGAGTAAGGAATGATTTCCGTTTTCAAAGTCAAGTTAAGATAAAAACATATGAAAGGAATAACTTGTTCGTTTATAAGTAGAGTCTAAGTAACTTGTACTTGTCGCACTTTCTCTCTGCGTTCCAAACAAGTGGTACTTGATCTGGTTAAGCAAGGAACTTAGAGTTTGCTTCCATTAAAGCGTTGTAACTTAAGTGATTCAATTATTTCTGACAGTAATATGAAAATAGTTTATTATGTAATGTTTTAACATTCAAAATAGTTAAGTTAACTCTGCTTAGTTTAATATTCTTTCCTAATTTAACTTTTGAATTGTTTTGTTTTATAAAATTATTGTTACATGAGATTAGCGTTGTTCTAAATTTATATTATATATTATAACTAAGTAATAAATGGAATTCGTTGTCTTGTCACATTAACGAAGATAACAATAGCATGTTAGTCACGCCCCATTCAAGTTATATCAATATTATATAATATTTGAGAGTCAATATAACTTAATTATATAACTTTCAATAAATAAAGACAATGCCACTTACATAACGAAACTAATAACAATATCGAAGCATTTAAAATATATACGTACATTGAAGTCTTTACACCTGTTATTGTAGGAACTTCTTTTGGTTGCATATCTCCATCACCAATTTTCTAGAAACGCAATACATTCCTATTGAAATTTTACAAACTTTTATACACATTATTTCTAATTATACCATTAATTCGTTAATATTATGTTACAGTTCCTTAGACAAAACCACTTTGATGGACTCGACCTTGATTGGGAGTACCCGGCCTTCAGAGACGGCGGCAAACCGAAAGACAGAGAGAACTACGCGAAACTCGTCCGGGAACTGAGAGAGGAATTCGAAAGGGAATCGGAGAAGACCGGAAAACCTCGTCTATTACTCACCATGGCTGTACCAGCCGGCATAGAGTACATACAGAAAGGCTTCGATATAGAAACGTTAAACAAGTAAGTTCAAACTGCATCTAATTGCCCTTTTCCATATAAATTCCCTTTTCATATAATAAAACATAAAAGTCGACACCGTTAGTACTACTTTTATCACATATTTATCAGCGATCATATCTTTTCTTATACGTATTTAGTTTCTTAGTTATGGATACGGATTCTGGCAAAATCCCTAAGTTCAAACATAAGATATGCCGATCATCATACGACAAACTTGACAAACTTCTTTGTGACCTTGACGTGTTTTGTCGATTAGATCAAAGAGCTATGCAAATGCAAAGACAACACGATGTTTGGCTACACTCGTGCGTGTACTTGCGACATACATCAAACTCACATCAGCCACCGTTACCTAACTCCCTATACCAATGTCATATTGCTTCATACTGCGGAGTAAGCCTTTGACTAACAAATAATTACGCTCTCTGATATTTGAACCTTTTGTTTACAAAACAAACAAAATTAAGGCTTCATATTTAGTTGAATAGAAAGAAAATTAAAAGCTAAAATATGTTAAATGTCAGTTTACACATACATAGTGACAAAACTTTAACAGTAACATTATCATCAGCATAAGTCCCCACTGAGGGGCTTGAAGCCTACCCTAAGTTAGGGGTGACTAGAACATAGACAACAAGCTAGCCCAGTGCGGGTTGACTGCAAGTTACATCACAATATTTAACTTCAATAGTGACATAAATTCAAGTAAATTAGTCCAAAGGATTTTTTTAACTGGTTCACATGAAGTTCAATTAACGGAAAAGCAGTTTTTATAAACGCATATCTGGCATTGGTTTTCATAGTGTGATTTTATCATTTATCTTTCTTGTTAGTTGTTGCGGCGATATGAGTGATAACGTTCACCGTTCATATAAAGCATGAGTCACATGCGTGTCTCGGAGCTATGATTGCTATGTGGTAATCTTGATACGGCAACTGGAACGTCCGCAAACACAATAGCTCCAAGGCTGCATACACAATGTATTAGGGCTGCTGAGTGTGCAACTGCAATTTTAACTTGTTACGTCACACGAGTACTTTAAGTAATGAATAAGTAATGTTCTTATTTCAGACGAAGAAATTAGGTTTTCTTAGGTCTTTCGTAGGTTTTCTAAATTACCAATTAAATGTGACATTTGCATTTTAATATTTCGATGCAATATTTTGTTGAAATTGGAGAAACTAAATAAGTATTTAAGTTTCTTATTTGTTTAACTATAATTTTTTGACAGAATTTAAGTCTTATTATATTATAAATTAAAACCCTCGGTATTCTAATACGAAAAGGCATACAAAATATGTTCATAAGTTGTTTACTAATATGTTAATAATTTGTTTGAGAAGGTTCCTGTCTCTGCATGAGAAGGTTCCTGTCTCTGCAGCCCTGACCACTGGTTGTTTGAGTCATTTGATTCCGCAGCCGGTGGTGTTCTGTTTTTAATATAATATGTTTTGTATATTTTTATTTTTTTGGATATGAAATGTATTATATTATAATAGAAATATGATAAATAAATGTACAAATAATAATAATGTTTACTAATAACGTACACCCTCTTAATGATAATTTACTTCCTTTCTTGTTAAAGTACTATATAAGTAAATTGCTAAAGCATATGTAATAGTAGGTATGATACAAAATATTCATCGCTCTGATTATTTTCTGTTTCGTAAACAAAACATCTTACGCGGTGCGCATGCGCACAAACGATATTAAGATTGTTTAAAGCAACAAAGGATGCATTTACTATTGTTGCATATTTTTTTTGTTTTAACACAGATTATGTAAATCGTACAAGACGCTTACTATAATTCGTCACGAGGATGTGTGGTAACTGGAGGCTTAACTATCATACTTTTTATTCTCTTCCAATATATAATGGTTACAAAAATAACTAACAAAAATCATAAATCCAATCAGTGTCTGTAACTAATCTTTGTTACTTCAGTAAAAGATTGTAACTAATTTGCTCTATACTGTTACTGTTATTGATTTTTTTTAAATAAGTATTGATGTTATATTAATTGTTAATTGCAGATACTTGGACTGGATGAACTTACTATCTTACGACTATCACTCGGCGTTCGAGCCAGCGGTCAACCACCACGCGCCGCTCTACCCGCTGGAAGAGCCCAACGAGTACAGCGTCGATAACGAACTTAATATCGTAAGTATTTTTAATTAATAGTACATTTTTATTTGTCTTTGGTCCCTGCAACTTGTGAAACTTCATGAAAAGAGATGAAAATGTATAACAATTAGATGTCAACAAACTACAGAAACAATTTTCCCGTCACGCTATTCACTGAGTTGGTGCAAGAATGAGGTCAAGTAGTGGCTAAAGTTTACATTGTGTTTATTGTTGAAACATTTGAAGCTTTAATAAGAAGATTTCTGAATAAATTATCGTTTCTTATTTCCTTAAGTTGTGTTTAAGTTCAAAAACACGTTAAAATTGTTTAGTTACTTTTATCAAAGCATTATTTACACTTCATTAGTGAAATGCAATAAAAGAGTTTATATCTTTCTTTTACAGGATTACACAATAAAATTCTATCTGGAGAACGGTGCGGACCCCAACAAGTTAGTGCTCGGTATACCGACGTACGGACGCTCTTACACGTTATTCAACCCCGATGCAGTGGAGATTGGCTCCCCTGCTGACGGTCCCGGAGAACAGGGGGATGCGACCAGGGAGAAAGGATACTTGGCATACTACGAGGTAAGTGTTCGAAAATCATCCAAACCGTAATAGTTCCTATTCGTCGTATATTAACACATTCCTTTCTACATATCATGTATCATGTATCATGTACACTATTCTGATATTTTGTTATCTGGTAAATATATTAAAAAAGGTGACTACAAGATTTCGTTCTCTATATTATTCTTCTATATGTTTTAAATATGTGGGTTTTCCTCATATTATGGTCAGAGCTTCATTATAAATCCAAAGTTTTGAAATAGGAATATACATGGTTATAAAAATATGTTTTAATATCTTGTTATCCGGTTGACAAATAACCGGTTATTGTGACGAGTTGAGTGAAATATGTTTGTGATTCATGAATATAATAATGATATGAAAATTATTTGGTCATTGAAATGTTAAGTTGTTAGTAATGCGTACATGTATTTGCTTTTAAAGAATTTAACGCATGTGGACATTTTTTAATATAATAAATAGACGTACAACTAAACGACGAAATAATATTCCTTTTATTTTAAAGAAAATTGAAATCTAATTTATTATTATAATATTACCAGATATGCGAAGCTCTCAAGCCGAAGCAGAAGAAACGCAGCATCAGTTCTGACTCAGAAGAATACTCAGATGAAGAAGAGGAAGAGGAAGAAGAATGGACGGTTATGCATCCCAACCCCACCGCAATGGGTCCAGTCGCCTTCAAAGGCAACCAGTGGGTTGGCTACGATGATATTGACATTGTTAAGAAGAAAGCCGAATACGTCGCTGAAAATGGATTAGGAGGTTAGTCTTCAAATAATTTTTTCTTATAGTAAACTTCGCAATTTCTTTGAATCTATTGAAGTTTTATCCAATATTTATATTTACAATTTTTTCTTATTATGTTAAATTTTAGTTCTCATCTCGCATACATTGTTTAATTAACCGTGGGTTTTTGAAACCAAAATCGCTGTTTAAAATATATTATTATTTTTCTTTGTTTGTTTGATGTACCGGAAAACAATATGTTTTATACAGATTTCGGTCTCAGAAACAAGCTCTAAGTGCTCTAACAAATTTTTTAACCCTTACTTATGATTTCTCATAAAAAATATTCATGTATTATAACAGTTTTGAATTCCGCAGTAAGATGTAAATAAATTAAATTGAACATAATTGCAAGTTTTTCTTTTTTTTTCTTTTTGCAGGCATTATGTTCTGGTCTATCGATAACGACGACTTCCGGGGCAACTGTCACGGCAAGCCATACCCACTCATAGAAGCGGCCAAGGAGTCCTATATACAAAAACTTGGGTACGTTACAAATATGTACAAAATAATATAGTTCTATATATATATATAATTAATTATAATAAAATATGACGGCATTCTAATAGTTATGTATTGAAACAAAAAATAATTATTAAGATAATAAAAAACCAAATGATTATGTTAAAACTTACCAAAAATTCTCATATATTATAAGAAAACATTCTCAAGTTTTTATTACATCTGTTGTTAATAAAAAAACATTAGGAAGATAAAAGTAAACTAATCAAATAATTACATTGTTTAGATCGACGGATAACACTGTTGTATCGGAAAGGCCGAAGTCCCGCAAATCCGGCAGTAAGTCTGGCAGGAGGAACAAACGTCCTCGCACCACGTCTACCACCACCACAACTACAACTACTGAGAAACCATCTACAAGGTATAAAATAGTTTATTTTATAGGCCATAGGCAACTCATAGACTTTTTTATATCATAAGGTAGCAAATGAGTCAACAGTCTACGTCTAAATATGCGACCACTGCCCGTAGACATCTATAATTGCAGATGCGGTAACGTTAGGTAAATGGTAGGTACGTTTAATCTACAGAGGAGGAGGAGCACAGTAAGAGGAAACATTTCCTTCTTATTCGTCTCCGCCTCCATTAAATCTTCCCCTGCCAATCCTTTCCTTGTAAGATAAGCGTGGGAAGGGAAAGAAGGCCAATACATCAGTTATATGTATTTAATAAGTTAAAACTTACAGCAAATCCAATTCCTCCATATATTCATGTTATTACATCAACTATCTTTGGCACGTTATAATAAATGAACTAAGCTAATATTGTTTATAATTTTAGGAGCAACAAACGTAAGAGCGGATCAGCTACAAGTACGACTCCTGCCTGGAACGTCATCACTCCCGAACCACCTACAACTCCTGACCCTGGTTCAGGTACAAAATTTTTATACCTCTAACTCATCCAAACATAAATACAGCTTTGTACAACAACAAAAAAAATACAACTTCCTAAAGTCTTATGAAACGTGTAGATACAGTTTGTATAACTTTCGGAGGTAGACAAAGTGCATTCCCTCCGAAGCGATTCCATATCGAATGTATGGAACTGACGCACGCCAATCACGTTACTTAACGAAAGATATTGTCGATTCTGATGTTGTTCTGAAAAATTAGATTTAAAACTAATGACAAACGTTTATTTCATGTTTCATTGTTTTGTTTTCAGACTTCAAGTGCACAGACGAAGGTTTCTTCCCGCATCCGCGTGATTGCAAGAAGTACTTCTGGTGCCTCGACTCCGGCCCCTCCGACCTCGGCATCGTTGCTCACCAGTTCACTTGCCCTTCAGGTACACAATCCTTCTTTCACTTTCCAACTTATTATTTAAGATAGTCACTTTGCTTAGACAGATTGATAGTCATAAAAAACTAATTTATTTATAGCTAAAGTGACAAAGAATTTTATAAATATGTTCATTACGGTATCTACAAAAAAAAATTATAACCTAATCTGTGTCCAATTTATTGTATAGAAGAGGTAAATAATATAACAGAAATTATAATTAAAATCAATTTACAGGTCTATACTTCAACAAAGCGGCAGATTCTTGTGATTTTGCGCGCAATGTACTTTGCAAAGTGTCGGCGGCTACAACCAAGGCTCCCACTAAAGCGCCTACCACAAGAACAACGGTCACCACAACAACAACGACGACCACGACACGAAAGCCTTTGAGGATCAGTACCCGCAACTCACTTCTGTTTAGAACAACATCCACTACACCGGCACCTCAGGTAATGCAACAATCGCTTATCGACATAATATTTTTTATTAAATCTACTAATTCTTAAGGCAAGAAAATATATGTATATGCACAGTTGTACCAGGATAAGCAATAGTCCTTAAAGAGGTCCTCTTATGGAGGTGTGCATCGAGAGTTGTGTGGTCGTGCATCGGGATCGTACAATGACTTTTAGAGGTTTCTCCCTATCCAGTTTTCGCTTATTTAGATTGGCCTTTGTGCGTACCAAATGCATATTTGGTTTCGTTTTCTTAAAGCCTCGTAATTTTCTTTCTTCGAAATTGTTAACTGTAGTGTCTAGTTAAATCCCTATATAAGACCTAACTACTTTTGTTCAGGAGGAAGAATACGAAGACGAGGACGACGAAGATAACACAGCTGACGATGCAGAAGATCCTAAAGTTATTAAGGAACTAATCGATTTAATTAAGAAAGTCGGTAAGTAAAATCCAAAATATTAAGCTTTGAGCTTTTATTATATGATTGTGTTTTACCTTTTTATATATTACGTATAAATGATTGGTAAATTTAGTACTATTAATGGCTAAGATCCAACGGCTAATAATGAAGACAAAATTGGTATGATTCTTAAACTCGGATAACACAGTGATGCGTAATAAAGATTTAGAGAATGCTGCAGAGCGCACGATCCATTTCCCCAAAGTACCAGTAAGATTGCCAGGAGTTATTTTATTAATATTGTTGTAACAGGTGGCGTGGAACAGCTGGAAAAGCAGCTCGGCTTGTCAGAGACATCCATCAGTACTAGCGGTGATGTAGCCACAAGTACGCCCTCTTCCTTCAACAAAAAGCTTTACCAAAAGGTTTTGGAACGGGCCCGAGGAAGGGGCAAGTAAGTGATAATTTGTTATAGAAATATTAAAATATAGAAATTATAGAAAATACTTTGGTATTTTCTATTTATAGTTATTAAAAATTTAAAACATTTATTACAAAAGAGGATATTATTAAAAATTTAATGATTGTTTTATTACAGATTTAACACAAATGGTGTTACTGGCAGTCAGTCACAAAACAGTCGCAGCGGACCGCAAAACGAAGGCCTCCAGCCAACCGCAGACCAAGATCGATTACTGAACAAAGATAGACCACAGTCAGTACACATAATTTTTATCCCTTATTTCTGTTATACCTGTAAAAACGATGCACAATAATATCAAAGATTAAATAAAAAAAATCACATACATTTTTCCTTTGTTTTATAGGTACGTAACAATTAATCGATCTCGTCCACCGACAACTGAGAACTCTTTAGAGAGTGAGGAGATCGAAGACGAACAGGAATCAGCGGAACAGCAATTGACGCGAGGCAGATCAGCCGGAGTACAATCCAAAGTAGCCACAACAAGCAAACCATTGCAGTATGTTAATATCAGACGATCGAGGCCTACGACAACTGTACCTGATTCTGCTGATGATTCAGGATCCAGGTAATTTCTTAACGCTATAACGAAAAAGATGAAATATTGAAAAACGTAAATATAAATAAATATATTTAAATTATCAAATCTTAATTAACGGAAACTTATGTTGAAAATTTTGTTGGGGTTCTAATGGTGTCCTTATTTTTAGGAATAATGCTCTATTTGAACGCGTGGAGCCGTATGTATCCGTGTCGGAAGCAGTCAACTCTCTCGACATCGCCAGTGCTAGGAGAGAGAATATTCCCGAATACGTGACAATTAGACGAAGTCGCCCTACTACCGAAACAACTACTGCGCAGTAAGTTGTTTTCTGTATTTTGTATTATTTTCATATCCTGGATGCACTTATATTTATGAAACTCTATTCTTTTAGATATCAGAATTCGGAAACTGAAGTTGAATCCCAGGAATCTGCTTTAGAAAGAGAAATAACTTCTCCATCTCTGCAACCCCAGTACACTTCAGTATTGCGAATCCGTTCTACCACACTTCCTCCTCTTGAGGAGCCAAGCAGCCCTGAACCAACAACAGTCCTTGCTGTTCAAATCTCTTCTTTATTAAATTCTCCAACGCCTGCGGAAATACCTTCATCTGAGTCTTTGTCATCTATATCTATCACAACACAAGAAATTGAAGTCCCTACAACAACCGCTACCAGTCCTACTACAACTACAATGCCGACAACACCATCTACCACTACGACAACTGAAGCCCCTTCAACTACTACCTCACGTCGAAATGGCTTGAGACGTCGTGGGTCTACTACAGCGTCAACCGCAACTACATCATCTCCAACATCAACAACTCAGGTGAGTTCTAGGAATTATAATTTTGTACGTCGGCGTAAGCCTTTATCCACACCTAATGAAATAACCTCGGAATCGGAAGAAAATATACTTTCTAGAAAAATCAGATCAACTACACCAAACAGTCGTGAGGTCGAGGGTATTAAACAAAATCGTGAATCGGCACGAAACAGAAGATTTAGAATTAGATATCAACCTTCAGTAGACGATTCGTTACCTGCCGCAGCATCACCGGTGTCTGCAAGTAATTTTGAGGAAAAGTTTAATTCTGACGAAGATCTGTCTTTAACATCTGCTGATGATGCTCCCATGTATGTACGAAGAGACACAAACAATGATGATATCGATGAAGAAACTTCTTCTACTGAAATCGACGAAATACCAGAAGATAGCGAATTCTCAGCTACCACTGTAGAAGACAAGCGCCCAACAACTATATTTAGAGGCCGAGGAAGATATACAACTATTACTACTACTGAAGCTATAAGTCAATCAACTACTACTGAATCTGCAGTTACACAAAGACGTCCTACTTTCGCTAGATTTACACCGCGACCATTTGCCAGGCCCACGTTGAGGCCATCGATTAATAGAGAAAGAACTGAAGGAGTTATATCTCCGAGAATTCCCCTTCGGGCGTCTTTTGGAAGATCACGACTATCTACGTCGGTTCCTAACATCGCTATAGGACCTCAGCCCCGAAGATTACCGTTCCCGTCTAGATCTACAACAACTACAACAACGACGACAACTGAACAAACGTTTACTACTGAAATTGACGACGAAGACTTAGAAAACAAACGAGATGATATTTACCTTTCAGAGAGTGCGATTGAAGAAAAAGAACATAAAGATGAAAATGAAAGATTTAGCACTACGAATTTCGAGGAGGAAACGGAAAGAGTAGCAAACGGTAGGTTTTCAACTACGGAAAGCTATGGTTTAGGGGAAACTGTTACAAATGATAGTGGTACAAGAAAGTTTAAAGTAATCAGACGACGTCCTACGAAAACAACGGTCGCCACAGAAACTACACCAACACCAGATTTTACAGATACAACAATATCTACAGTACCGAGAATACGTAAAATAATAAGGAAAAAAATAAAGCCATTTGACGGTGATATAGAAACTACGACTAAATATACGACTCCTGACACGTTAAAAGAAATAACGAAGTTGGCGCTTAACTATGGTGAAAAAACTAAATCAACCACTATGACTCCAACTACTACAGAAAGTCAAGATGTCGAAGATTTACCAATAGAACCTAAATTCGAATCAAACAAGCAACAACCAAAACTCAAAGGAAATGATAGTATTCAAGAAAGTCAGACAAAACCTGCATCTGACGAACAAGAAACCATAGGGAAAAATGATGAAGATGATGATTCGCAAAATGATCAATTAACACGCACTGAGGAGGCTGAAACGCCAGTTGACGACAAAGCCGATGGCGATTCTGAAGTAAATTCAAAAGATCATCAAGAGGACACTGATGCTGATACAAAAGAAGATCAAGTACTAACCGAAGACTCCGAGAATGATAACATGGCCAAATCTAATGAAAATAATAACACAACTGTATCGGATCAAGATGATAACATATCTGATAATGTTGAAATAACCACATTTGAAAACAAAACGGATACTCTACCTGAAGTTGTGAACATGGATAATTTAAAAGAAACCGACACAATTTCGAATATTAAGGTAAATATTAATAACACTAAGTCAGAAAATGAAGAATCAGAAAGCGAAACAAATTCAGAAAACGAATCCAATAATCTTACAAATGCTACAACGGTAGCCGAGAATGCAGAGGTTGTAGTTGAGTCGAACGATAAAGGTATTGATTTATCAGAGAAATCAGAATCTTCGGAAACACAAACAAACGATACAAGTGAAACTGAACTGACAACTACGACGACTACTACGACATCACCTTCGTCATCGGTTCGAACAAGACTACCATATAGACCACCGAAAAGACTATTTACTTCTACAACCGAATCTTCTTTACCTTCAAGTAGCAGAACATTTAGTCGTAAATATAATCCCGGTGCATACACGAGTCCTGCTACTGTAGAAAGAGAACCATTTAGGCCATCAGTTACACGTAGACCTTTATTTTCACGTACATTCACAAGAAAACCATTTACGGCGCGAACTACAAAACGGGTAGAAGAGAATGAATATTCTGACGAAGAATTACTGGAAGAAGAAGGCATAGACGAAGAATCTGAAAATCCTTTTGTTTTCGTTCCTCCCAGTCAGTTATTTACAAGAAAACCTGATTCAGAGGAAGAATATGAGGACGAAGGAAACGAAGAATTTGAAGATGGATTGGAAGAAGAAGAGATATATGATGAAGAACAGATAACTACACCACAGACGACAACCATTGGTAGATTTACAACGACTTCAAGAAGACCACTGTTTAGACCTAGAGTGGTAAACTCTAACACATTTAGAACTTCTACAACAACAACAGAGCTACCAAACACTCGAACAAATGCAACACAAGTGCCTAAACGTACGTTCAACAATGGACAAAATAAAACTGTTGTGTACAATAGATTCAGTTCAAATAAACCTGTAAACGACACAAAGAAGCGCGTACAAAATGTACCAATCGGCTACAGTGCTCCAAAAGCTACGCCTGAAGTTAAAAATACAACAACTCCTGCGAAGGTTGAAGAAAAAGTTACTGTCACAACTGTCAGTCCTGACACAAGTGATAGCGAACTAACCACCGTGCAAAACGAAATTAATACTTCAAGTAACGAAACATCTTCAATCCTTGTAGAAGTTCATAACGATGAAACTACTAATACGTTTGAAAGTCAACCTACAACTGACCTTATAGAAGTTGATACAGATGAATATTTGGAAAATTCAGATGTCGGTGTGACTCAAGCAAATCCTGAAGATTTAGTTACACACGTGCAAACAGAATCCATTCCAATGACGACTGAACGGCCAACAACATTGGCAATAACAACACTAGCGTCAGATAAAGAAAGTTTTACAACTGACCAAGTACCTGACACCACAACTATTGCCACACCAGCAACGCCTATAGTAAAAACTCAGTTCAACAAATTGTTTTCTGTAAGCAGAGTCGTTGAAGTGTCGTCCAAGCAAGATAAGCACCATTTGAATAAAAATAATGAAACTACGTCAATTGAAGAAGGACCTATTGTCATTGAAAAGAAACCAACCGTTGATAAAATTGGTGAAGTCAGTCGGTTTACTCTGATTAAAATAGTAGAAGACGAAATTCCTATTTATTTAACTAAGCTTGGACACGTATATCCTGTTGACAATCCTCCTAATAATCCAATACGTATCGACGAAGCAAGAAATGCTAGATCGCTAGGAAATTACAACTATCCCAAAGAAAGTCTTCTTGCTTCTGAAAGTATGAACGAAGCTTACAGACATATTAAAGAATTTTCCACACAACATAAAGAACCTCTGCTTAAACGAGAAGTAGAACAAATAAGTGATGATGATTTCCTGAGTTATATTAACGAAGATAAAAAAGTCGAAACGGTAGAAGAAAATCAGAATTATCAATTTATACCAGCCGCGTATGAAAATGAACAAAATAGAAATTCCAAAAATTTTGATATAGTGACACCACGAATTATGCGAAATAATCCATCGACATTATCATTAGAAGGCTTATTTAAAACTGCATCTCCAGTTACACCGAATAAAAATAGCGACAAAATTGAAAGTCAGCCCTTCTTTGTATACTCAGTGGCAGATCCTACTGAAAGTACCAAAAACGTCGAACCTACAAAACCTGAAATAAATTCTACTTCTTCTGATAAGATACAAGAGCCTAAAGTTGAGCAATACACTACAATGTCTCCTAAGCACAAAACGAAGTCTACAGAGTATATTCCTTCTCTAACGTCCGACAAGAATATAACCGCAAGTCCTATTATTGATCTTTTAACTACGGTTCAACCTATTTCAGCTACGGAATCTAAAAACGTAACCATTACACCTAAACCGATAACAACTTCAGCAATTCAAACAACTGAATCAAGTACACTAAAAAGTCTATTGAGAAATAACAAAAAATCTTCATTCCCTTTCATAAGAAGGCCTAATATTAAAATATCTAATTTGACTAGATCAGTTGAGACTCCAAGAACAGCTAAGAAAATTAGTCCCACAGTAAAGACTAATTCAATTCAAAAATTCAATAAAACGTCCACATTTACTCCTAGTAAATCCAGATTCTCCGCAAATAGGGCTCAAAATATTCCCGTAGACACAAGAAAGAGGACCACTTCCAGTAAATTTGTACCAAAAATTACAACTGAAATTCCGAGAATAACAACAGCAAAGAAAACATTCGTAAGACCAACGAGACAAACTTTTCGACCTGCGTTCATACCAAGACGGAGTTCAACAACAAAAGACATAATTTAGTCAACAAATTTACATTTGACTGAGTCTTTTTCTTTGTGCCTTCTTTAAACTAAAGTTGTTTAAACTGAATTTCTTCCGATTCCGATGGAGTTTTATAATAAAAGTTTTTCTTGTAATAGGAGATTACTTGTACATATAGAAGCGTCTCTACACTTTCTTTATAGTCATATTTTATAAAATTTTATAGCTTTAAAATAGGTTATTTACGTGAAAGTGTTCGTACCAAAAATGTATATTAGCATTAGTTTATTTGATGTACGAGAACTTTCGAATACAAATTGTCGTAGGATAGAAATAGAGTTATTATTTAAAGTATATTATAATTACTAACATCCATCATAATCGTTACCAATAATTAATGTATAAATGTGAAATAATGGGCATATTGTTTGATATCAGCTAAAGCTGTTTTGTAACAAGAGGAAAATAAAGGTGTGCAATAAATTGGTAGTGAAAATACTTTTATTATTTTTGTTTAAACATAATTTGTAAAAGATTTTTTTTTATCATAAATCAATTTAATGAAGATATTGAAAATTGAAGATATTGAA